GGGGGACAAAGTGAAATTTAGAATGTTTGAAATTTTATTCAGAGCTAAAATGCCTACACATTTTCCATGATGAACTGTATCATTTAAAAAGATTCGTGGGACCAGCAGTTAGCGTAATGGCTATGTCGCTGAACTCCCATGTAGCTGACCGCTGTTCGAGTCCCGGACCCAGTGGCTTGAACTCACACCGGGCGTGTGTGCATGTGTGCCCAGGATCCCGAGAGGAGAATAGAGGAAAAGGGATTGCAGCGTGGCCATCCCTCCTGGGGGATGATTTCTTGCTTTCTATCTCTGTCTCTCTCTGTCTTTCTGGTGAGCGCACACGCCTTATAATAAAAACCTCTCCAAAAAAAAAGAGATTCCTTTAAAAATTATATTTAATTTTCTCTTATGAAATAAGATTTTAATACCTCTATGTGCCATTTTTATGGGTATTTACTCAGTATAGTTATCAGAATATTTTCTCTGAACCTTAAAATTAATGTCTAAAATAGAAGCTATGATTTCAAAAGCTGTATTAAAAGGAAGAAATATGTTTAAGTCAAGTAATAGCTATGGCCGTTTATGGTTGTTTTTGTGTTAAAAGTGGAGTAGGGCCAGTCCTCTGGTGCAGCAGTAGAGTGCTGTACAGAAGAGGCCACATCACAAGTGGTAGACCAGGGTTCAAGTTCCAGTCCCACCGTCTTAAGAAACATTCCAGGTGTGGAAATGTGTTTGGGATCCTGATGAGGGGTTGGAAGAGGATTGTTGTGTGACCAGGTCCCACAAGGGTGTACTTTTTTACTTTCTTACTCTTGTGCACATCATGCATTGAATGGCACAGAAAAGGAAAAAAAATGAAAAAGTAGAATAAATAAAAGATGTTATACAGATTTTGCTCATTTTTTTGCCCAGAAAAGAATTGAGCTATTGTTCAAATATGGGTATCTTCCATCATAGTTTGTATTTAATGAACAATAAGCTTTTCTTTAAAAATTATGAATATGCATTGAAACAACTCTCCTGGCATTTGATCTTTATTCTTTGGTTAGAATAACATGTACTGTAATTTGTCTCCAACTTAAATACAGCTTTAGTGCAGAGGTGATCAAAGCCAGATTACACATATTTGGAATGAAAACAGCAGATAAATTCATAATAGTTCTATGATTTCAACAATATCTGTTTAAAGTGAATTCTTGAGCAATATGTTTGGTCATTCTTTGATCCTATTATTTTCCTAAAGAACAAAGTTAAGTATTTCCCGTACAACAGAAGGTTACAAAGACCTTATAGATCTGCTATTCTTCATAACTTTTTCCCATGGGATGCATGCATTCATTAGAGAAACAGAAATAGTGAAAGGAAACGTCATAAATCAACCCCAAGGTGGGAGTGGCAGCGCCACAGTCCTTTCTCCATTCTCCTGCTAGGATTCTGGGCACTCTTGCTCAAGCACCCAATATCATTTTCAAGCTGCCAGGTCTGGGACTCAAACTGTGGTTAGCTTGTAGGAGTCTGGTGCCTTAACTAGCATACCACCTGCTGCCCCTGTATCTACTATTCCTATCAAACATCTTAACTTTGATTTACTTAATCATAAAACTGGTAATATCTATACTTCAGCTATTATCACTTTAAGACAAGGCCCTCTTCTCATTGATCTTTGTGTTTTCAGGGCATTACAGAACATAACTAAGAATATTACATACAGTAAGAAGGAGTGAATGAGTGAATGAAGGAGTGAGAGACAGGATGAAATGTGTCAATTATTTAAACTAAGATTAGACTGAAAATACTTAGGTTGAAAGGTATTTGCTCTACCCGTAATGGTGTAGTGTTTATATATATAACTATATACATCGTTTTCATCAGAGAACTTTACATTCTTATGTCTATTAATATTTCTTTGGACCAGCAGATGATGAAATGGTTACAACACTGGACTCCCATGTAGTTGACCATGATCGAGTCCCGGACCTGGTGGCTTAAAACCTACTGGATGCATGTGTGTGCGTGCCCAAAATCCCAAGAGGAGAATGGAGAAGAAGGGACTGTGGCCTGGCCATCCCCCTTTGGGGGTGATTTCTCTCTTTCTGTCTCTCTGGCGATTGCACATGCCCTGCAGCAAAAATCTCTCCCTAAAAAAAAAAAAAAAAAAAGAATGTGGTATGCTACCACTATACCATCATCTGGCCCCTAACTGAACATTTCGTTATATATAATTTTATTTTTTCTTCTTTCTTAGCTTAGTGCCCTCCCTTATAATTTCTGGTATCTATACTTGTTTCCCTACCATTATATCTTCACATCTTTCAAATTCTGCCATAGAGAGCAGATATTTGATATATATTGAGTGGGATGTACAGTGTTTGCCTTTTGTAGTCTGACTTACTTCGCTTAGCATTTATTATTCTATGTTCATCCACTTTGTATCAAATACTAGGGTCTCATTTTCCCTTATGACTAAGTAATATTCCATAGTGTACATATGCCACATTTTTTTCAGTTAAGTCATGAGTTTCTTGAACGTTTAGAGTTGATCCCAGGTCTTAGCAATTGTGAATAATGTTGTAATAAATATGAATGTACAGGTGTCTATTTTCTTAATGTTATGGTAAATACCAAGGAGTGGGATTATAGGGCCATATGGAAATTTTATAGGTTTTTGAGGAACCTCCCCACTGTTTCCCAATGACTGTGTCAATTTCCATTGGCACCAGCTGTAGGATCCCCATTTGATCACAGCCTTGCCAGTACATGTCATTTTTTATTTTCTTGATCAAAGTCATTCTTACTGTGGTTAAGTGGTGTCTTGTGGTTTATATTTGCATTTCCCCTATGATAAAAGAAGATGAACATTTTTTCATATGCACTTTGGCCATTTGTGTTTCTTCCTTAGAGAGTTATCTGTTCAACTCAATTGCCCATTTTAAATTTGGATTGTTGTTTTTTCTGTGTAAACTGCTTGAGTTTCCTATATATTCTGGGTGTCAATTCCTTATCTGAAGCATAGCTTGCAAATATATTCTTCCATCCCGAGGGTTGTCTCTTTACTCTAGTTTCCTTTGCTATGCAGAAGCTTTTAGCTTGATTTGATTCCACTTGCCTATTTTTGATATTTTTTGCCTATACTTTTGGGGTTTTATTTAAGAAATCTTTGGCTACTCTAGTGTCCTCAAGGGTTTCTCCCATAGGGTTTTCACAGGTAGTTTTATAGTCTAAGGTTTTACATTTATATCTTTAATCCATTTTGAGTAGATTTTTGTTAGTGATGAGAGATAGGGGTCAAAGACACTGAATAGGAAAAGAAGAAGTGAGAATATCTCTATTTGCAGATGACATAATATATATATACACACACATATATATATATGTGTGTATATATATATATATATATATGTGTATATATACACTCCTG